TCAAATCAGTGTGAAAACACCGTTTCTCCTTCGATCGCCAAAGTTAAGCCCCGTCGAGCCCGGTTAGTACTTGGATGGGGACTGCTAGCGAACACCGGTTACTGTAAGCAACTGCTTACAACCTGATATGTTTCGACTTTAAATATCCCAAATGGGTTGATAATCCATAAAAAACAAAAAGAAATCAATCCTTATTCTAACTAGCATTGTGGTTTATGGTCGTCGGGTCTGTACAGATTTGATAATTTGGAACTTTTTAGACATGGAATTATCACTAGGCTTTGCTATTTTGAATTCTATACATAACTTGGCTTTACACTCAGCACACAAATCACTGTCCTCTCCGGCTGTCTTCAATCAAGATCACATTGCAACACGTCCGTACGATCACTGAAGTTAAGCAACGTCGAACCAGTTCAGTACCTAGATGGGTGACGCCTTGGGAATATCGGGTGCTGTAAACTTGGATGTGTGGGTGGTATAAAGGGCTTAGGGCCAAATCACGTTGAAACACCGGTCCCTGTACGATTACCAAAGTTAAGCAACGGCGAGCCTGGTCAAGACCTAGATGGGTGACGACTTGGGAATATCGGGTGCTGTAAACTTGGATGTATGGCTGATATAATGTTAGGGCCACAGCACGTTGAAACTCTGTTCTCGTACAATCAGCGAAGTTAAGCAAAGTCGATCCTGGTCAGTACCTAGATGGGTGACCGCTTGGGAATAACAGGTGCTGTAAGCTTGGGTGTGAGGGTGGTATAACGGGATTACGATCACATCACGTTAAAAACACCGGTTCCAGTACGATCACCGAAGTTAAGCAACGTTGAACCTAGTCGGTATGGGTAACCGCTTGTGAATACCAGGCGCTGTAAGCTTTGCTGTGCGGCTGGTGTAATGGATAATGACGCAGAATTGTTAATCGGAGAGTCGAGTTCCAATTCCCGGTAGGTTAATTTATATTCACTTACGTGCAAGTAGCTTGGTAAATGTATGAATCTATATCTCCTCACCCCCACTATGGGTTAATTAGTAAAACTTGTATCAATAAACAATTATTATCTCACCCCCACCAAAAAATAGTTTTACAATCTAAAAATATCTTATGGGTTTAAATAATCTGCCGTAAAAACATTTTCCTTGGTCAATATTTTTATAGCGAAGAAAACGACGACTTACCTCGTCAAACCAGGCGACAGCGAGTTGCGTGTATTCTACGACGGAAAATGTTGCGTGCGGGAACCACGAAGATAAATCTTTGTTCAAGTGTAAAGTCCCCATTGACCTAAATACTACTTTTAAATACAGTGTAACCCGGATATAAGAGAGTTGTCGGGATCAGAGAAGAAGTCTCTTATATCCGGGTTTCCCTTATATCCGGGTTTGGTCTATTTTATATACATTAACACAGGCTCTAATTTGGGACCAGAGAAAATCTCTCTTATATCCGGGTTTCTCTTATATCCGGGTCTCTTATATCCGGGTTACGCTGTATCTCATTCTCAATGCGATAGTTGAGCTATTTTTACTCGCATTCCCAAGTTTGTACCTGGCTGAATCTGGTTTTAGCAACGTAAATGCAAATCTAATTAGAGAAACAGACTCTACCTGTCCTTCTTCTTTATGTCCCGTGTTCCCTCAGAACGTAGGCAATCATGGCTCTCCACAATTTCCTTTGTAGCTCTTAATAAATTTTTTCTTTTTGTTATTTCTCCTGAACCCTATTCCACCATCCACCCATTCAATCTCCCTAAGTAGTTTATGCATTGTTTTCTTCTGTCCCTCTTGACTTCAACCTGTCCTGTGAGTATCAGATTTTCCAAGCCCTCTTTCCTTATGATGTGCCCTAGAATATTTCAACTGAGTCTTACTGATAAGTGTAAGTTTCCTTTTTGTTTCCATTTTCTCTAAAACATTGTAATTGCTCACATATTCGATCCATGGTATCATCAGCATCCTTCTGTAGAAAGACATTTCTGTTGTTTTAATTCTCTTCGTTTTTGGGGAGATTTTCCAGCATTCACTGCTATACAGGAGGCCAGATATCACATTCCCTCACTGCTATATATATATATATATATATATATATATATATATATATATATATATATAATGGTTATGAAGAAAAATATACGGAAAAAACAAACAAAAATCCTAATATGCAATTATGCTGTTTTAATGTTAATATAATGTCAACGTCGGACGTTTCGGTCTAGTAGACCATCTTCAGGACATATTCATAAAACATAATTAACATTAGACGATATTCAATTCAACATGAAAAGACGATGGACATAAGAGTAAGACTAATCAAACAGACTGAAATTTTTCAAGATCAGCGTTTCGTTTCAATATGATCACGTCGGCGTCACGTGGGATCTATATCCCTATATTTGCTTACATATAATGGTTATTTACATGGTGACATTATTGCGTTGCAATCATTTATTCAAACTGAATTGCAGCAGTAACTTTCAAAATATGATAGTTTTAATGACTCCCTTTCCACAAATTTTGTTTTGAAGTTAGATGTCAGTTCCAGTCCTGCTTAGAGTGTATTCTTTGTATTCCACACTGTTTTCTTAAGAATGTAGATTGACAGTACAAATTATTGCAATGAAAAACAACTCTGATTTTTCTCTTCTTCATGTGTTCTGTTCTGTCAGGACTGAAGTGATCATGGCTCTCTACAATTTCCTCTCCTTCACAGCACTTAATAAATTTTGTCTTTTTGTTATTTCTCTTAAACCCTATTCCACCAGCCATTTTCTCAATCTCCCTAAGTAGTTTATGCATTGTTTTCCTCTGTCCCTCTTGACTTCAGTCTGCCCTGTGAGTATCTGCTTTTCCAAGTCCTCTTTCCTCATTATGTGCCCTAGAAATTTCAACCCCCTCTTCCGGATGTTAATTATAAGTTTCCTTATTGTTTCCTTTTTCTAAAACATTGCTCACATTATCGGTCCATGGTATCTTCAGCAGCCTTCTGTAAAACCGCATTTCTCTTGCTTCAAGTCTTTTCTTTGTCTCAAAAGAGATTGCCCAGCATTCACTGTCGTACGGGAGGACAGTACTTTTTTCCTGAAGTTGCACAGGAAACCATTTACTATGTTTGGTTGTGATCTACATCATCATAACTGACAACTGATGATCGACCGGCCTCATTTCAAAAGATGTGGCCTCATTTAACCGGCTTCATTTCAAAAGATGTGGCCTCATTTAACCGGCTTCATTTCAAAAGATGTGGCCTCATTTAACCGGCTTCATTTCAAAAGATGTGGCCTCATTTAACCGGCTTCATTCAAAAAAATGTGGCCTCATTTAACTGGCTTCATTTCAAAAGATGTGGCCTCATTTAACCGGCTTCATTTCAAAAGATGTGGCCTCATTATCCGGCTTCATTTAAAAAAATGTGGCCTCATTTAACCGGCTTCATTTCAAAAAATGTGGCCTCATTTAACCGGCTTCATTTCAAAAGCTGTGACCTATTTTAACTGGCTTCATTTCAAATGATGTGGTCTCATTTAACTGGCTTCATTTCAAAAGATGCGACCTCATTTAACAGGCTTTATTTCGAAAGCTGTGACCTATTTTAACTGGCTTCATTTCAAATGATGTGGTCTCATTTAACCGGCTTCATTTCAAAAGATGTGGCCTCATTTAACTGGCTTCATTTCAAAAGATGTGGCCTCATTTAACCGGCTTCATTTTAAAAGATGTGGCCTCATTTAACCGGCTTCATTTTAAAAGATGTGGCCTCATTTAACCGGCTTCATTTCAAAAAATGTGGCCTCATTTAACCGGCTTCATTTCAAAAGCTGTGACCTATTTTAACTGGCTTTATTTCAAATGATGTGGTCTCATTTAACTGGCTTCATTTCAAAAGATGCGACCTCATTTAACAGGCTTTATTTCGAAAGCTGTGACCTATTTTAACTGGCTTCATTTCAAATGATGTGGTCTCATTTAACAGGCTTCATTTCAAAAGATGTGACCTCATTTAACCGACTTCATTTCAAAAAATGTGACATCATTTAACCGGCTTCATTTCAAAAGATGTGGACTCATTTAACAGGCTTTATTTCAAAAGATGTGACCTCATTTAACCGGCTTCATTTCAAAAGATGTGGCCTCATTTAACCGGCTTCATTTCAAAAGATGTGACCTCATTTAACCGACTTCATTTAAAAAAATGTGACCTCATTTAACCGGCTTCATTTCAAAAGATGTGGACTCATTTAACCGGCTTTATTTCAAAGGGTATGGCCTCATTTAACTGGCTTCATTTCAAAAGATGCGACCTCATTTAACAGGCTTTATTTCGAAATATGTGGCCTCATTTAACCGGCTTCATTTCAAAAGATGTGGCCTCTTTTAACTGGCTTCATTTCAAAAGATCTGGCCTCATTTAAAATGCTAACCTTCTTTACTCGGTCATATTATTACAATTCAAGAATTTTTTCTATTCTTTCCACTTTTTAAATCCCATAAACATTTTCACCGGCTTCGAGAACTTCACTGTCAGTCTACTCATAAAAGATTCTGTCACTGAAATTGAGACTTCCGTGAATGAACCATAGGACGATATGTCACACTCGGTCAAAGGAATTATGTATAAGTTTATAAGAGGTATATACCAAACATTTTATTCGATCTGTCCCATCTATTTACATCGGTTTCAATAGGCAGAATAAATCTCGATTCAAAGGACATCCCAATGACGTTTTTTTTTCTTCATAAAACATAACTTATTGACTTATACGCGTGATCGAATATATACGATATAGGTAAGATAGATGGAAATCGGTTTTCTATGTTCTTCTTTTTCCTAATTCTTTTTGTAGACATGTTTTATGTATAAAAAATTGACTTACAAGAATCTTATTCTTTTTTTTTTTTTGTCGGAAGCAATATCTGCAATTTGGCGATCTTGAAGGAAAGTTTCTTCTTTTTATTCGCTTTACTTTCGGAAATATTTTCAATCTCCCAAGAATTGTATTAGGCTACGAAGAAACGAAGGCAGACGAATTTTGGCAAATTTATTTGCAGACGGAAACGAAACGACCATGGAAGTAGGAATAATAAGCAAAGGAAAAAAATAGATTAATCCCAACACTTGAAGGATTTTTTTTTTCTTTTACACGTATAACTTGACTAAGAATAATATACAAGAGGAAAGAGATGATCCAAACCTTTGAATTTAAAAGAAATGTATCTAACGCAATCATATATATATATATATATATATATATATATATATATATATATATAACGTCATCCACAGACAGACTGTTCCGCAGCTCATCAGTGCGGCTAGATATTCGGTTGCCTCTAGCTAGGATCGAAAGCCGACTGGCTTGGTGTCAGTCGGAGATTCTAACCATTAAGCCGTCACCGACAGTGACTCAATTCGCTTTTGCGAAGAGTCTCGCTATATAGCTATAAATAGTCACTGTTTACAAACCCACACCTCCTCCCCAGAGAGCTCAACTAAAAGTAATTTTTCAGTAGCCAATATAACGTCATAAATAAAAAGAAAGCTTTCAGCTTCCATTTTTGAAACATGGTTAGAACTGTGTAGCGAAAAAAAACATATTTTAAATCAATTAATTTATAATATATATATATATATGTTTGTGTGAGTGTGTGTGTGTGTGTGTATTTAGGCAGAAATCCTTCAGTTATGCATGTTTCATTAAAGACGACAGAGGAGGTACTGCGATTAAGGATTTTATTTAATTTTTCTTGTATTCGAGCAAGTGTATTTCTTTTTTGAACACAGAGTGTGTAGAAACTGTCCAAATGTTCTGTAATTCCGAGCGCTTTCGGATATACTTTTAGTCATTATCAAGGATGATTTTATTTTTGTTTTTTAATTG